ACAAACCATAAAAACACACACATAAATAAGTATAAATGCAAAAAAATGTATATATATATATATCTATCTATCTAAAAATATTAAATTAACAACATAAACAAATATATGAGCAGATATCTTTGGTCCATCCATTGGTTCAAAACTCCATCAATACACCTATACATACATATATATATATATATATATAATATATGTACTCCATGTATATACACATATACAGCCCTAAATGTATGGACAGATATAGGTAACCCTTTGTTGAACCATGAGGGTTGCCACACCAATTGTGCAATTTGTCAGTAGTGTGGCCTTCCCTCACATACAGCAACACCCATCAAAACCCTTTACAGTGAAGGCCATTCTTTAATTCCCCATGGTTCTGTTCTCACAAGTCTCCATCCCCATACCCAGAATTCTGATGACCCCATATTTCTGTGGTCCATCTGATTCACAAACCCATCCATACACCAAAATTATATTGTATACATTTACACTCCTGAATGTGTGCATAGATGTGGGTATCCCTTTGCTGGGCCCATTAGCACCCATGGTGGGGTGTCCTTTACAGTGAAAGCCATTCTTTAACTCTCATAGGTTCTGTTCTCACAAGTCTCCATCCCCATACCCAGAATTCTGATGATCCCAAATTTCTGTGGTCCATATGATTCACAAACCATCCATACACCTATATACATTTACACCCCTGAATGTATGGATAGATGTGGGCATCCCTTTGTTGACCCCATTAACACATGGTGGGGTGTCCTTTACAGTGAAGGCCATTCTTTAACTCCCATAGCTGTTCTTACAAGTCCCCATCCTAATAACCATAAGTCTTATGACCCCATATTTCTGTGGCCCACCCATTGCTCACAAACTCATCAATGCACCTATATATACATTTACACCCCTGATTGTGTGGCTAGATATTGGTAACCCTTTGTTGAAACATGGGGGTTGTGCAATTTGTCAGCAGTGACAGTGGTGCCTTCCCTCACATAAACCAACACCTTTTACAACAATGGTGAATGGCCTTTAAAGTGAAGGCTGTTCTTGAACCCACCATGGGTTCTGTTTTCACATGCACCCACCCTTTTATTCACAGTTCTCATGATCATGGCCCCAAATATATGTGGTCCATCCATTGGTTTACAAACCCATCAATACATCTATATATATATATATATTTACATTTACATTTACAGCCCTGAATGTATGGATAGATATGGGTAACCCTTTGTTGACCTATGAGGGTTGCCAAACCAATTGAGCAATTTGTCAGTAGTGTGGGTCTTGTTTCTCCTCCTTCCCTCACATAAACCAACACCCATTAAACCCTTTACAGTGAAGGTCATTCTTTAACTCCCCATGGTTCTGTTCTCACAAGTCTCCATCCCCATACCCATAATTCTGATGACCCCATATTTCTGTGGTCCATCCATGGGTTCACAAACCCTTCCATACACCAAAGTTACATTATATACATTTACATTTCTGAATGTGTGAATGGATATGGGCACCCCTTTGTTGAGCTCATGAGGGTTGCCAAACCTATTGGGCAATTTGCCAGTAGTGTGGCATTGTTTCAATGCACCACCCCTCCACAACCAGAAATCACACCTTGCACATAGTGGCCCAAGTTTCAGCTTTTGCCTTTAAAGGTTCAGGGGTCCTTGGCACCACACATGACTCCACACTTGTGGGCTGGACATGGGCACAGGTCATACCACTAGACAAACAAGCACACCCATGCATCATACTATGCACCAAACAAAGCCACATCACACCCATGCATCATACAAATCAAAATAAGTTGCTGGCCCCAAAAACCAAAACAAAAAACTAGTAAGTATAGGGGGTGGTTCTGTCCAGCCCACTCACCCACCACCATTTGCCAAGCAGCCAAGTGTACACCAAGTACAAATCAAGTGCAAACCAAGCTGGGCCACACACTGATGGTGACATGCATCTAACAACCAGCTTTGCCCCCCATCCACATGCCACCACGCCAGAAGCTCCCTAGAAGTACCAGCCCCAGGCTTCCACTATGCTGTATTTTTGGTAACAGCATCACATCAACTAGAACCTGCACAGCTACCCCAAACAAAACTAATCACACCCCAACCAAATTAAGCAACATTTCAGACTCAAACCCAGCTTCTCAAGACCCACCCTGCCCTGCACCCCAGTGACTGCTGCCTTTGTTTTTGCACTCATGTGACCCTTGCTCTGCCACACCTGGTGCCCAAAAGATATTTAATGGTATTGTGACAAGGGCCAGGCCTGAATCACCAGTCAGAACTTAGAACACCCACTCACTAACCAACACACCATGCTAAAGCAACCTTCATTGAATGGACCCATTGGGGGCTTTACTATTATGTCACATTTGTTCTGGGAATGACACCCTGCCAGCCCACCAAACCCAAGCCTTGCCCTGATCTAAATAGCCCTAGGCTACATTGCTGCCATTCCAGGCTGCCAGAAACACTGATGGTTATAGTGGCCTGGCTAGGCTTGCACCCACAACAGTGATGATGGCCTGAATGTATAGCCTGTACCACTAGACCTTGGGGGTAAGTATAGGCCAGTATGGCTTATGAGTGGAATGGTGTGCATTTTTTGCAAGCCAGCCTTCTGCCATTCCAGTCAGCTATGTCATATGTGGACCCCCCCAAATGCTCAGCTGTCAATCACCACTGCATTGTCCTTGGACTTCTTGTTTTAGGCTTTTGCCTGGGCACCAGGACACTCATGACATACCTGCCTACTTAATCAGTGTGGGTGATACAAGCACTGCCATGGGTGACTATGATTGGTGTGAAGGTATGGTGTGGACTATGGTGCAGCCCAGCACTGCCACCAGGACCAGTGATTCAGCACAGGCACTGCAGCTTCTTGTCTCCTCTTTTTGGCTAGTTGAAGTGCATCAGAGCTGAAGGCTTCACCTGAGTCAAAGGTTCCAACACCAAACACTATTATAAAAGCACCCATCCAACCAACCACCCCCCAATATTGCAATAGTACCTTTGCTACATTCCCCCAGCACAGCCAATACATTAACATGTAATGGAGCAGGGCTTCAATATCCACACTTCTGACAACATACTATTTAACAGAAGCTGAACCCACCTAGACCTTTACCATCCCCAACTGCCATGCTGCACTTTATAATATAACTGTTTTTGCCTTAAGCTGCAAACCCATTCTGTTCTACATTCTTTTGTCATGGGACCTGCTTCCCTGGCTGCCTCTGCAGCCCCTGCAGTACCATGTGTCTTCACTTGGCCATCACCAGGCTTCTTAGGGCCATCACCAAGGCCTGGTGGTTGGCCAATCTGAGAGGCAGAAGCTTGTGGCTGTTGTGAGTCAGTCTGTTCAGTCTGTCCTGCTGCAGACTGCTGTGGTGGCTGCTCAGTCTGTAGGTGGCCCACCTGTTGCTTTTTGCATCCTGCTGCAGGTTCTGCTGGCCATCTGCAGGTGGCTGTTGTGCAGCCTGCTCAGGTTGCTGGTTATTCTGTGTGGCATCTGGCTGCTGGCCACTTTGCTTTGGTGCTTGTTGGCCCACCTGCTGAATAGGTTGTGGCACAGCTTGGTCAGCAGGCTGCTGCTGCTGCTGCTGCTGCTGCTGCTGTGGCTGTGGCACAGGGCTTTGACCATCTTGTTGCTGCCTCTGCTGCCCTGTCTGCTCTATGTGTTGTTGTGGTGTCTGCCCAGGTGGTTGCTGTTGGCCATGGCCTGGCTCTTCTGTGGCACTCTGCTCAGGCTGCTGTACTGGTTGCTGCTCTGGTGTCTTCTGGCCACCTTGTGGTGGCTGCTGCCCCAAGACTTGGGTCTCCTGCTGCTGTGATGGCTGGCCCATCATCTGCTGTGTGCTTTGCATCTGCTGCCCCAAGGCTTGGGACTGTTGCTGCTGTGGTGGCTGGCCAATCTGCTCTGAGCTTTGCCCACTGTGTGGTGGTGGCTGCTGCCCCAAGACTTGGGGCTGTTGCTAAGGCTGAGTGGATGGCATGGCCATGCTGCTCTGAGCTTTGGCCACTGTTGCGTGGTGGCCTAGAAGCCTGGACCCACAAAGACTTGGGGCTGTTGCTGCTGTGGTGGCTGGCCCATCTGCTGTGAGCTTTGGCCACTGTGTGGTGGTGGCTGCTGCCCAAAGACTTGGGGCTGTTGCTGCTGTGGTGGCTGGCCCATCTGCTGTGAGCTTTGGCCACTGTGTGGTGGTGGCTGCTGCCCAAAGACTTGGGGCTGTTGCTGCTGTGGTGGTGGTGGCTGCTGCCCAAAGTCTTGGGGCTGTTGCTGCTGTGGTGGCTGACCCATTTGCTGTGTGCTGTGGCCATTCTGTGGTGGTGGCTGCTGCCCAAAAAAAAACTGGGGCTGTGTTTGCTGCTGTGGTGGCTGACCCATTTGCTGTGTGCTGTGGCCATTCTGTGGTGGTGGCTGCTGCCCAAAGACTTGGGGCTGTTGCTGTGGTGGCTGGCCCATCTGCTCTGAGCTTTGGCCATCTTGTAGTGGTGGCTGCTGCCCACAGACTTGGAGCTTTTGCTGCTGTGGTGCCTGGCCCATCTGCTGTGAGCTGTGGCCACTGTGTGGTGGTGGCTGCTGCCCAAAGACTTGGGGCTGTTGCTGCTGTGGTGGCTGGCCAATCTGCTCTGAGCTTTGGCCACTGTGTGGTGGTGGCTGCTGCCCAAAGACTTGGGGCTGTTGCTGCTGTGGTGGCTGACCCATTTGCTGTGAGCTTTGGCCACTGTGTGGTGGTGGCTGCTGCCCAAAGACTTGGGGCTGTTGCTGTGGTGGCTGGCCCATCTGCTCTGAGCTTTGGCCATCTTGTAGTGGTGGCTGCTGACCAAAGACTTGGAGCTGTTGCTGCTGTGGTGCCTGGCCCATCTGCTGTGAGCTGTGGCCACTGTGTGGTGGTGGCTGCTGCCCAAAGACTTGGGGCTGTTGCTGCTGTGGTGGCTGGCCAATCTGCTCTGAGCTTTGGCCACTGTGTGGTGGTGGCTGCTGCCCAAAGACTTGGGGCCGTTGCTGCTGTTGTGGCTGGCCCATCTGCTGTGAGCTTTGGCCACTGTGTGGTGGTGGCTGTTGCCCAAAGACTTGGGGCTGTTGCTGCTGTGGTGGCTGACCCATTTGCTGTGTGCTGTGGCCATTCTGTGGTGGTGGCTGCTGCCCAAAGACTTGGGGCTGTTGCTGTGCTGGCTGGCCCATCATCTGCTGTGTGCTTTGTGGCTGGTGCTGCCCAAAGACTTGCTGCTGTGGTGGCTGGCCCATTTGCTGTGAGCTTTGGCCACTGTGTGGTGGTGGCTGCTGCCCAAAGACTTGGGGCTGTTGCTGCTGTGGTGGCTGGCCCATCTGCTGTGAGCTTTGGCCACTGTGTGGTGGTGGCTGCTGCCCAAAGACTTGGGGCTGTTGCTGCTGTGGTGGTGGTGGCTGCTGCCCAAAGTCTTGGGGCTGTTGCTGCTGTGGTGGCTGACCCATTTGCTGTGTGCTGTGGCCATTCTGTGGTGGTGGCTGCTGCCCAAAGACTTGGGGCTGTTGCTGTGGTGGCTGACCCATTTGCTGTGTGCTGTGGCCATTCTGTGGTGGTGGCTGCTGCCCAAAGACTTGGGGCTGTTGCTGTGGTGGCTGGCACATCTGCTCTGAGCTTTGGCCATCTTGTAGTGGTGGCTGCTGACCAAAGACTTGGAGCTGTTGCTGCTGTGGTGCCTGGCCCATCTGCTGTGAGTTTTGGCCACTGTGTGGTGGTGGCTGGTGCTGCCCAAAGACTTGCTGCTGTGGTGGCTGGCCCATCTGCTGTGTGCCACTGTGTGGTGGTGGCTGCTGCTGCCCAAAGACTTGCTGCTGTGGTGGCTGACCCATCTGCTGCTGCCCCAAAACTTGGGGCTGTTGCTGTGTTGGCTGGACCATCTGCTGTGTGCTTGGGCATGGTCCTTGTAGTGGTGGCTGCTGCCCAAACACTTGTAGCTGTTGCTGCTGTGGTGGCTGGCCCATCTGCTGTGTGTTGGCCATGTTGTGGTGGGTGCTGTGTTGGCTGGCCCATCTGCTGGCCACCTTGTGATTGTGCTGGTTGCTGCTGCAGCTGTCCCATCTGTGGGTGCCCCTGTGCAGCTTGGCCAAAAGCTTCAAGCAAATTTTGCTGCCTGGGTTGTGGCCAGGTTTCTGAGCCAGCATAAGTGCTGACAAATGCCTCAGATGCCCCAACTGCCAAACTCATTTGCTTGATTTTCTCCAATTTGAACCCCAAAAGACCATTGGCTGCATATTTGACCCCCATGTAGATTTAGCTTTGGCCTAGCACAGTAAACAAATAGCTCACCCCACCCTAGTTGATTTCAAAGATAATTGCAAAAGCAATATCACACCCCCACCAAGTTAAGTTGCTGGTCCTGGTGGACAGTGCTGCCCCTTCATGACCCAAGTAGATGCCTGCCCAAGGCTTTCTGTACTGTGGCCACAAAATGTTGTGAAATATGGCTCATATTATAAAAAAAAAGCTGCCCAACATACCACAACCCTTTTGTCATGTCTACTAAACTATATATTTAATTATGTCATTTAAGTGAGTGTCAGTGTCCCCAAACTACTTATTGTTATATTTGCACACCAAGTAAGCACCATGTATATGTATCCCAGTGGTGATATGGAAGGGGAGTTCCTGGCTGCACCCTTGGCCAGCCCTGTGGAAGCAGTGGCCTGGCTTTCTGAGGAAGCCCTACTCAAGTTACTTGAAGGCACTGATGCAAGTGATGCAGCTGCTGAAGGCTCAGCTGTGCTTGCTTGGCCTGGGCCACCAAATATTTACAACCACAACAAACACCCCACAACATGTCCCAGCCAAAAAAAAGTTCATATTGCTGGGTTGCCATCCCCTGCAATTTAAAACATCAACACAAATAATGTCAATACACTGCCAAACCACTTGGCAGCCTCCCTTTTGATGGCAGTTGCTGCTCCAAGTTTGCAAGTTGCACAGCTTGCCAATGCCCTTCAGGTAGTCCTGGGCTGTTGTTTTATACTGGCTTGTGAGCTGTCCACCTTCTTAAGGCAGCAAGGCCAGCACATGAGTTTGTAAGACATGCACACAAACAATTGTACAGTGACATGGCCATGCCAACCCTGCCATGAACCCTCCAGCCCCTCTCCTTTCATCTGGCTGATATACTGCTGAGCCCACATGTCCTCCTGGTTCAGCAGTGCAGTCTCTGCCTCAATGCACTGGCTTGCTGGAGAACCCCCCAATGGATCTCAATGAAATAAACAAAGGTCCACTTACAAACACTTATTACAACACTTTTAATAATGTATTGCATTGCTAGGGCTGGCAACTCAACAAAAGCCAAGGGTTGCAATGCTTTCAGATTGCATAGCTCAGTGTGCTGCCAAGGGTGTTAATACCCCAGCCCCCCTGCCACTCATTCATTCAGCCATTACAAATTGCAAACCATAAGCCAAAACATTTTTCCAGCAAAGTGTCCACTTTGGCATACCAAGCTTGCACACCATCAGCATGCTCAAACACATCATCTGCTTTCATCAGCACCCTGGGATGGCTAGTGGGGCAGGCCCCAAAGAAACCAGTATGGAAAGGCACCAGGTGAAACAATTTGAAAAATGAAATGGGTTTTCCCTTCCAAACCATAGTTATCAGTGCCTGCTGCAACCTGCAAGCCTACTTCCATGCCATGCCTACACTTGAATTACCACCTACCAGTTTGCAATGCCTCCAAGCTTCTCAGAAGTCTTGCTTGTCTCTGCCAGCTTCAAGTAGTAGCAAGAGTTTCTGTAGGCCAAGGCAATGGGAGCATGTGGTGGGCCCACCACCACCTTCATGCCCCTCTCCACATGGCATACTTCAAGCTCTCCATTGGGCCTCCCATGAGCTCTGAGAAGTGCTGGCCAAAGTTTTCACAAAATGGTTGATTATGAATTATTATGAATTATTAAACCTTAGAACAATGGTCCAAAACAGTTACCTGTGATTACCCAAACACTACAAGCTTTGAACTTTGATTGGTGATGCCAGTGCATGACATGAGAGCCAAGGCACCCTTTGATCTTGCTGTACTTCTGAAAGACAGAAGGTGGGGGAGGACTGTCTTGCTGGTCTGCTCCCCTTGGCTGGTGATTTGGCACATGGAACTAAGGTAAGGCTCAAATTGTGACAGAATGCAGCTTATTGAATTATTATTTTTTTAATGCACATCCCTGCCACCCAAAAGGAACAGCATCCATATACCAAATATGCCAAACCTGTGTTTAGGTGCAACCAAGTATCTTCTTGGAAGTCTTCTTCCACAAATTGTACCAGCCCAGCTGATTTGAGTATTCATCCAAATTGGAAAAGTCTTCCTTGGCCACATTGCAGCTCAACATAAGTCAACCCATAAATGATTGAATTGGTATAGGGCTGGGTGGTGAATCAATCAGATGGAAAGGGCTGCATGCATGCTGGAAATGCCTAGTATGCCCAAACAATATGGGATGGAGTGAACCACCCACCTGACCCTTGCCAAGGAACAGCAATGCTCTCTGCTCTCTTCCCTTGGTGCTGCTTCTCAATCCTCTGTGCCTGGTCCTTGACCAGCTGCTTCCTGAGCAAAGCCAGGCACCCCCACCCAAGCCCCACCTCCATTGAAGATGTCCCAAGCAATTTCTATCATAAACTATTTTTACATAAGGTACTGGCCCCCCAAGGTACTTCCACCATGTTCTGAATCCTAGCAGGTTCTGAGTCCAGCCAAGGGTCAACTCACATCTGGTCTTCACATCCAAGTCTTTCACAGAAATCTTAGGGGAAAGCCCAGTCAAGCACCAAAGCAGCTGCTCTAGTTGGAGTTCACTGAGCATGCAAGTGGTGCCTCAGGAAGCTGTCTCACCCAATTGCTGGACACCCAATCTTCCACAAACCAAAACCTTAAAACACTCTAGCCAAACAGACTTTGCAAACCACTATCCAATACCAAAACCTTGATATGGCCAAGCAAGTAACTAGGTGGGTATCTCTCCTTGTCAATTGCTGCCAGCCACTTCAACTTTGGATTTCTGGGCACTGAGTTCTTCTTGTTTGTACACCTGAAGCCCTCTTTGGTCTCACCCCATTCTGGGCCCAGGTGCACCCAATGCCTTGGATGTAAAACAGTGGCAGGAAAATGGCAAAGCAAAGAAACTCCATGCCAAATTGGTTGGTTAGCAATCATGATGTTGCCAACACAATCCATGGCAATGCATTGAATGAATGGCTCTACACACAACAGAACCAAGAAACATGTTTTCTAATGTCATGATGCAATAGTTCATCAATAGTTTTCATGTACCCAGCAGGCCATGATGAACAAATGCCAAATAAGATGTTCAGGGTGTTGGGCTAATTTTGTGCTAGCTGCGATGGGATGGTGTCAGAATCTGAACTTGACTCACCACTGCTGCTGTCCTTATCCTTCTTACCTTTTCTTTTCTCCTTTTTCTTCACCTTCTTCTTGTCCTTGGATTTCTTCTCCTTCCTGATGCCAAGCTGCTGCACCCAGGTTTCCCCACAAATTGTCAAATGATGAATCATTGATTTACTTTCAACCAAGCAATTTCAAAACAGGGAAACAAGGAGATTCAAACCTAGAATCTTGGAAGTTGAAAAGTGATGAACCTTAAGTGCCACCTCTTGCAATAGTTCCAGGTACAATTTCAAACAATGATGCTGCTGCTGTACCACTAGCTTCAGAACCCCCAACTGCCCCTAACAGTCTACTTCCTACTAAATCTATGATAGCTCATGTTCAAGCCATGCATCCTCTTAGACGACTTGGCCCTGCTGCTGGAGCTGGACTCCTCCTCCTCATCATCATCATCCTGTTCCTCTGGCTGTTGGCCATAGCCTCCCAGCCAAGGTTTCACCCAAGGAGGAATTGCCTGATGCATGGGGTTTTGCCAGTCATATGGCAGGTTCTTGTAACCAGGTCTCCCCCTCTTCTTTCTCGATGGCATTCTGCCTGGGGTCCCTTTGAAAACCAACTGGAGCCAAAAGGCTGCAAAGAAGCTGGCAAATGTGAGAGGAAGGCTAGAAAAATCCCAAATTTAGCAGGGTTGCAAATTCTGGGATTTTCTTAGCCTTTGATATGGCCAAATTGGCCCTGAAGAAAACCCCTCTTGAAGTAGCATCCTTGGTGAAGCAAAGATTTATGGTCTATGATACTGTATAGTCATATATATATATATATATATGTACACATAATATTATGTATGTATATACATATACATATATATAGTTTGAAATCAAAATTAGGATGTGGGCATTTACAAAGATCAACATTCGGATGTGAACATTTGCCATGGAGATGGGATCAAACTTACCCTCCATGGCTTCCAATGACCTTAGTCTGTGAGTCAAAACCAGAGGCTAGATAACTAACATATTTAACATATATTCAACAGTTAGTTAACATCAAGCATGATTCAAACATGTTCATATGTTCGATAGTTATTTAACATCAAACATGATTCATCATTGAATATGATTTAAACATGATTTAAATATACTATTGAAGATGATATTGTACAGTCTGCAAGTGACCGAGCATCATACTGATGCCGTATGCAGAAAGTGAAAAAGTGATTGAACATGATTTAAATAACCATCAGCAAGGTGTGAAAAGAACCGCAAGTGGCATGCTGTTTTTAGTTTAAAGCCGCCTACCCGAAAAAAATGACGGCAACGTCTTGTATGACTTCCAAAAAACACAACCATGGCTTATCAAAAACAAGACTCAGAAAATTGGCTGTGAGGCAGCACCATGACTCATAGCGAGGTGCGCCTTCTTTTTATCTATAGAGAAATGTTCCACAATTCACTGACCTGAAATTTGTGCGGCTATTTTGGGATAGTTCAAAGTTCCCCCAAAATTCACCATGATTTCAATGACGTCCCCACCAGATAGGTCATATTGGAACCAGATAGACATCTCCGATGACATGAGTTCACCACCCTTCTCGAGAAGGACCAGGCGCAAAGACGGTGAAGATTAACTTGGCCTGGCAATGGTAGCTGTGAGTCCGCAGAAAGTGATAGGATGGTGAGTCATCAGAGCATCAAAGTCATCGCTAAAAATCACATGATATGTTTTTTTGGATTTCACACAAGATGCCCCCCCCAGTTGTGTTTGTTGACAACCCCCATTTTTTCGATAAAGTTATATCTACCATTATCTACCATAAACCATACTTAAGCTATAGTTATAAACCAACCTAGCCCTTTACTCATGTGATAAACCGGCATAGACCTTTCCGACAAAACCCAACAACACCAACCAGTTGGGATCATTTCATAAACATCTCCCAACAACAAACCTCTATCTGGGATGGTTCTTTTAAGCAACTTAGCTATCATTTGCGGGCCCCAGCTTGAATGAAATGAATTTAAATCAGTTTTTTTAAAAAATGATGTGGTTTCCCTAGCCTGAGTGGTTTCCCTACCAAATCATATCGGGATGGGTCAAAAATTATTGTGTTTACCATACTGTAACTGGGGGAATAACAATCCCTTCAACTTGGGACCGGGATCCATTGTGGGACCCATTCCTTAAAAAAAAACAACAATTAAAAAGAACAATATGTACAATACGGTGATGGGAGAGTTCCATATTAATTCCATGGATAATTCCTAAACATTCCTAACATGACAGAGTTTCATGCTCCTGATAACTATGTAGCAAACATCGACACACTTCGACACCACATTTTTTTGCCTTGTCACAACGACTGTTGCTGGTTGCCATCAACAAAATCGTCACGGTTAAATCGAACATGACCTCAGCGAATTGAAGACATTGACATGGAGGCTTCCTAAGTCATGGTACCCTAAGTCACCATGGGTTTCAATACGACAAAATGGAGTGACTTGGACTATTTGGGCTAGCCCTATTTTAGGAAACCCCCAGGCCTGGGGCTTCAAATATCATGTATACACAGGTCATTCTTGGAGGGAAAAACTCGTTAAAATGTTCTATTTATGTGTTTCAAACGACAGTTTATTCGTAGATGATGAAACCACTCCTGATGTGCCCCGAAGTTCTGAGTCCACCAAAGTAGATCATGGCGACCCGAGCTACTTGGTACACCAAAATGGTTGGTTTACAATGGAAAATCCCTCAAAAATGGATGATGAACAGGGGTAGCCCCATGACTTGGGAAACCACCATTTAGGAACCACAGAAAACACGCTTTCCCTTGCGCACTAACCTCATCTGTGCAAAAATGCTCAGGAGTTTGGACACAGTTTTTGGCGCACCATTCTTATGAGACACGCAAATCAGATGTGGTTTATCTAAATTTCGACATCTAAATTTGTTGAGATAATTTTGGGACATGTTCCAATCGATTTTCCCATAGATGTTCACCCATGCTCATCTCCATCCATTGAGTTTTTCACAGTTTTCACAGTGGCTTCATCCCATGATTTTCACCAATGTTCATCGATGTTTTACATACTGGATGGTTTCGAAATCCTGCACCTGCTTGAACATTATATAACCATTCTTAACCACTATTATCCCCTCCATTTTTTGGGTACCAGTTCATGTCCAACCCAACTGGTTCGATTCTTCGGCCAAAAGGCCTGGGCTCAACATGGGATCAACCGCCGAGGAAATTACCGCCCGACATCCTCAAGGCTCCGACGACCTCCCCCTTTTGGCCCCGATCCACGCGCTCGTAGATGTTGCCGAAAAAGTCCATCTCAAAGGCCTGAAAGAGAGGCAGCGAACCAAGCCTTTTTACATACCGTATATCAGATATACCAGTTTTGAAGTGGGACTAGCAGGCCGTTGTTTATTTTGCTGGGGTGTGGGATGAAAGAAATGTGAGAGCCGCTATTGGTTATGACAAGAACTAGCAGTTGCTTAAGTGAGTTATGTCAGTTATGTAGTTATGTCACCATTTAAGTGGAATATGAGAACTCAAAAAAAAACTATCCATCAAAATCCACTGGTTTCTAGGCCTCGGCAGCGCCGCTTCGGGCGCACTGGGATGATGAGTTGTTTCGATTTTCTTCATGGATCTCCAAGGATAAGCCATAGATTTCCATACGAAGTCAGATGTGCTTCATCCTTGACGGATGATATGGTTCCCCCATGGAGGAAATCTTAGGAAAACTCCACCTGATGGGATGAACATAATCGTGGTTTTAGGGAAACATGATGAAAAATGATACTTAGACTCTGCATTTTGCACAAAAATGCTACAGCAAAAGTATTAGTTGATCAATAAATTCTGGGGACACATACCATTTTAAGGTGGCAAACGGATACAAACCGAGGGTCTAGGGACCCACTTTCCGTCTCGACACATTGAGTCTTTTGAATTCTCTGGGGACTATATCTTTGCCCGGGGATACTCACGTGAACCCTTGAGGGCGAAAGTCATGACTGTTTCATATTGTTTACCCTTTGGTTATTTAACATAGCCATGGAAAATGGCCCATTTATAGATGGTTTACCTATTAAAAATGGTGATTTTCCATGGCTATGATAAATAACCAGATGGTAATTATTGAAGTGTGAAACTCACGTTTTGTTCGACACCATTCTCCAGCTTTCGGAACCTCTCATATATTTATCCATATATGGAGGTTTCCTGAAATGGGGCTACCTCCAGTTCTCATCTATTTTAGCTCGGGATTTTTCCATGAAATAAATCATCCAGCTATTGGGGATCACTCATTTTAGGAAGACCCCATATGGATTAAAGTTGCCATCATGAACCATTATTAGCCATCATCAATCACTATTATAGGATATTATAGGCACATATTCAAATTTTCCGGAAACCCCCCAGGGTTTTCTGCTCTTTTCGATGGGTTGCCGTTGTCCACGTCGTGCCTGAAAGGACTGGATGCTATCCACCAGCTTCAAGAAAGTCTCTTTACCTCGGTTCCATTGTCATGGGGGTACCCCCCATAGCTGGTTGGTTTATTTCATGGAAAATCCCTAACCAAAAATGGATGATGAACAGGGGTAGCCCTAGGACTTTGGAAACCTCCAGATGTCTAAGCAACCACTAGGACCGCTAGGATTGCTGAGATTTGGAAATTTGATAGATGAACAAATATGGGGATGGGTTGTTTGTTAGCTATGAAATTGCCATGGGTGAATGAGCATCCAGCTATACCGGCTATGACTTAGGGTACCTAGAATGCCAGTGTTTTGACTCATAGCCATATGAGATTCCTGCACCGAATCCACCAGCCTGACAGAATCGGAATCTGTAAGCAATTCGCAATTACCCCAGAGAATAAGTTTCTCCAGAAAAAGTTATGGGATGTCAAATGCCAGGTGCCGCCTATGTAATCCAGTTGTATATGCAGTTGTATACATATGTATGTATATATATATATATATATATGGAATGTCCCCAATTAGATTCATGTCTTATGTCCATAAATGACGCATATATATATATATACATATCAGTATATATTATATGCTGAACAATGGGTTTTTACGCCCCCAAAAAATGGATGGATCACCATTCCGCTAAAGCCTGATCTCCGCTCCGTCCCATCGTTTCTTTGAGCGTCAAATCCTCCTTTGTCAAGAATATGGGATTTCCAGTGACAACGAACTATATGTTTGGATTATGATATATGTATATATATGTATATATGCATGCACATGTATATATATATATACACATAAATATGTGGTACCCCCCTGTACCCCTCCCCTGAGATCTACCTGGAAAACTTTTTATAGGTACACATACGCAGATACATAATGATACAAATACATGTACATATACATATACATAAATGACATTAGATTGAAAGATCCCAGTGGGACCTCAGACTTGGGATTTCAAGTCTGGACAGCTGTCAGACTTGGGATTTCAAGTCTGGACAGCTGTCAGACTTGGGATATCAAGTCTGAACAGCTGTCAGACTTCGGATCCCAGGGCGCACGAATCCAAGATCCAAGATCCAATATGTTCAAAAAACTTTTCTTGGATCCAGAGCAGAAATCTTGGATCCAAATGGGATTGCTGGATCCAAGGTTTTCCAACACAAGTTTTTCAAAATCTTGGATCTTGGATCCGGATCCAAGATTTCTGCCCTGGATCCAAGAAAAGTTTTTTGAAAATCTTGGATCTTGGATCCTTACAATGTCAGACTTGCGATTTTCAAATCTGAACTCTTTTCAGACTTGAGACTCGAGTCACAGAAACTGGAGTAAAACCAAAAACAAAGCATGAGCTTCAGACAAAAACATTATCTAAAAAGTTGTGATGTTTGTCTTATGTGGCTTTCTCGAGGTTTTGTTGCAATGCACACCCACATCCTTTAAGAGTAGCAGCAGAAGGTTCAGCAAGATACTGCATAATTCTAAATTTGGTTTAAAGACAACTGTCATTCAAAGTCAGGCTGAACTTCAGAAAGGATGTATTGCATCTTTCCACATATTGTATATTTTTCTGCAAGAATATTGCTTGATATTTGAGGAACAACATTGTCTTCAGGGCAATCATTTTGAAGACATTATATAAGTCTTTCATTAAAAAATAGTCATAAAAGGAAAATGAGAGGAAGGCCGAGCTCCATAAAAGGATGTATTTCATTTTTCCACATATATACTTTGTTGCAAGAATAGTCCTTCTCGTTCAAGGGACTATCTTGTCTTCAAGGCAGAGTGCAACCTGTAAGCAGCATTTTCCTTTAACAACAATCTTTCTTTTCAAGGAATGCTGTAATGAACGTCAACCATTGCACATTTTCACAGCAATACTCAATGTTAACCACATACTGCATCTTGAGTAGGAATCTGGTGTTTTGAAAGAAATACTGTATGATTGAACGAAGGCTTAATAATTGAATAACTTCCTGAAGGGAAACTGCACTTCTTCCGAAAAGAACGCTGCATGTTTAGAGGAATGCTCTATATGTTGTAGGGATACTGCTTCTTTGAAGGGCGTACAAAATGTGCATGATCAAACTCACTGCATAATTAATTGAAGTATGCAGTGAACTTCATCATGCATGTCTCTGGAGAAGCATCAAAGGTAGATCTTAGGGGGGGCTAGCATATATATATATATATATTCTATATACACATATATATATAATCCCAAATATCTATTTTAGGCAGTGTAATCCCAAACTAATCATCAACCATCATTCATCAGTTCTATCACCATATGGACCATATTTTTCATGCTTAAAAACCCTACGGAAAATTGCCAATTTTTTGATGATTTGCCTATTGAAATGATGGTGTTCCATGGCTGGGACCCTCCGTAAGTACACACAAAAATGGTGTTTTACACATTTTTTCTCGCCAAATTGGAATAATTCGCACCTCGTCACCTCGTCATTAATTCGCATGCGTGACATTGTGTGACGTTTCATCTCGCCTCATTAATTCTACTTTTGGGAATTACTGGGCTCGTTCCTCTGCCTAACAGATCACAGTGGCGCTCTTCTTTTCTGGGCCACACAATGCGTGAACAAAAATCACAAGCTGAACTTGAAGAGTTTGTTTATTCCCTTCCGTCGACCTGATAGGCGCATTGCAATTGCGACCAAACAAAAAGTTACCAGAGATCCCCATGAAGCAACAGGGCTGTCAATGGTCACCACTCAACTGGCGTATGGGCACAACTTGTGTCTTACAAGAGTGTCCAATACCTTCTTTATCATGTACAAATGTGTGTATGTATGTATATATATATATATATATTGTGCATGTATATTGTATAATGCTCACATATATGCATACTTAAATATATATATATGTAGAACCGTTGTCAATCACTAACACCAGGCGCCTTTTTGTGGCTTGATCACCAAGTGGCTGATCATGGGTTCTCCCGCAAGCGTCTTTCTCTCTGCCCATTGTTGCAAGCTACTCCAAAGCGTCACCTTAGCCGCGCCAGCGGGAAGGGATGTGGATGGGAATGCTGGTTTTTCTCGTGAATGCCATGTTTACCTCTCATTTGGTGATGATATTTACCTGTATTACAGCCTATGGAAATACTGGGTATGTAGTATACCAATATTTTCACAAACACAATTCCTATAGTCATCCCGAGAGTCATCCCGATAGTCATCCCGATAGTCATCCCATAATTCTTCCATTTCTGGAATTGTCCACATGAAATTCTACAGCCCTGCAAATTGGCGTTTTGTGATTTTAAGGGGATGACGTGGCATCCAATTCCCATCATCAGTGACCTGGCCCAGCGACGGGAGCTCGTGATACATATATAAATATAAATGGTTCACTCAATCATCTTACAATCAATTGACAGTTGCTGTTATAATGTTGCTAAATAAAGTAATGTTATATTGATTTATTAATGATTGTTATAGTGGTCCATTCATCATTAATCGATCATATTGATGTATATATATATGTCTATATATATATATGTATATTGATAACGATCACTTACAATCATTTATATAGTAATCAAAATGTACAATGAATCATCCATTGAGTTACTTTATTGATCATTTATCAACCAATATATTTAGATAATTTATCATTCCACTGTCTTCATTCCAATTGTCATAAATCCGTTTAAAAAAATCCTTCGAGTAGAAATATAGTTGTATTTTTCATGATCAATCCACATAAATATATATACGTATGAATCTATCTCTGTGTATGTATATATATATATATATACACGTGTATACTATGTAGTTCATATACATTGCAATTGGTTGGTTTTGCTGTTAACCCCATGTTGACAACTATGTCGACAACCACATGTTTCACCATTGTCCAGGCCCATCTCGACGGGCCGACAAGCATTCGGAAGTCCATTCACAATCATAATAATACAGGATGGGGCCCCATAGTTAGCTAAGCTGGTTTATAACTATAAGAGTAATGAATTTCTAATATCAATAATGAATCAATAATGAATCAATAGTTATGGAAAATGTACCATTTAATTATAGATGATTTACCTACTAGAAATTGTGATTTTCCAAAGTTATGTTAGTAGGGTAATACTAATAATAGAACATAGTAGTTAATGAATTACCAATATCAATAATATAGCAATAGCAATAATAGTCATTTTTACTTAAGTACTATTCTATCATCGATAGAAGATTAAGTATAGTTAATATATCAATGATTATTTTAGATGTTCAGTATCGATAATATTACATTTGTAATTGAAAGTATCATTTCATACTATCTATAAATGATGTATCATCACTACATCTTTTATAATAGTACACTATGATAACAATGAGGTTCAATACTGATAAATAATGTATTATTATAAACGATGTCGTTAATAATGTTATCATGAATGATAGTTAATCAGTTCATTGGGAATGAATGATATGGGCTGGTTTTATTATAAATAGATAGCTTGTGATAGCTTAAAAAAGATTGTATAGCCATAAGTGTATTGTTGAACTATGATAGAATTTAGAATTGTATTCATTTTATTACATAGTCTATCTATCTAATTTTCGAGCTGTCCATCCATCTACATATAAATCTATCTGACAAATCTAATCAAATTCAATCTGACCTGATCAGTGATCACAATCTAAAGATTCTAAATCATCTAAATCTAATCTCACTCATCGCTTTATCATTGCTTATCCACCAATAAATCGGGGGACATCTTCGGAATCTACACCCAGCAAGATCACCATGATACACCAACAAGCACGGCCCTGGTGGCCTGTTTGTTGTGAGACTTCTCTCTATTAGACTCTATCGTGTTATCATCAATCATCCATCATCATTTCATCATTTCATCGTTTTTGTTTCAATCATTTCCGAGAATAAACATCCGACTATCTGTGTCACCCACTTGTATGTCTGCGCTTGGCATCTTTTGGCCAACCTACCAAAAAGTTCTCCATCGAGCCACGCAAAATCGGGTCGTGAGCTTCTGCTGAAAGCGTGTCACCGCCCGGCGACGATGATCTTCGCCCGTGAAAAGTGACAAATGCCTGGCTGAAAATCATGGAAGATGGAGATGCTGACCATGAAAAAAACACACACCGCTTGACCCTCCAATGATTGATACCCCCCCCAAAAAAAGGTAAAGTAATTACTAGTTTGTTATCGGGGGGAAAGCACCATTTTAGAATACTTGGAGGGTCGAGGCAGGAACAAAAAAAACTGTCAATGAATGGCAAACCCAACACTGATTTCCAATGAAAACTGGGAACCAAATTTCACTGCATGTCATTGCTCAAAATCAAACATGATTGGATCACAATGTGATAAAAGTAAAACTGACTTTGCCAGCAAAATACTCACTGATTAGTGGCCCAATCGTCACAGTACGTCACAATGAACCCAACCACTTTGGGTAGCGAATGGTAGCGACCAGGGTACAGACATGAGTAGTTTTCCTGCAGGGGTCTGTTGGGATTTTTCCAAGCAAAATCCCTGTTTTTGGCTGAAAATGTCGTCACCCCAATTCTTTAGGTCAAGGTTTCCAGTCGCAAGAGTCATGACTCCATCAAGCACTGATGGCTGTGTCTAAACCAAAAGGGTACCTCTAAATCCAATGGCTTTATCATCATATTATCATCATAATTGTCCATATTGAAATGTGGGCATTCGGATTTTTTTCTGGGGGCTATTCACCCTATCTCAAACAAAAAAGGTCATGGTCCTGGTCCAATTCCATCAGAACTCCTCCCAGAGATCGAGCTGCACCTGATAAAATTGTCAATGTGAAAGGCACACGCCAGCATGTTTTGCCTCACCCGGGCAGATGAAGCCGGCGACCAAGATCTTTTAGACGTATATAGCTATGGAAAAGGGATGACAAGTGCCTATTTACTCATGAAGAAAATTTATTTACACATGGTTATATTGTTCAGTTTGCGACATGAAATCACCAAAGGGTAACCCGAACATGTATGGACATTATTGACATCATGTATCACTGTGTGTCATGATATGTTTAATATATTTCAACAGTTACCCTTGATGGATGGCTCTGTAACTAATGTTTTGGGCTTCAACTATGACTGGTGGTCCACCTACCCAATTCGTCTCATGTTTGGAAAGGACCTTGATAGACCTCGTCTTCGACCAATTCGTCTTCTTGTCGCGAGTTCGCCCTTTCCCAATAATATGTTTGTTGACATATGTTGGTCTATTATCTTCAGATTATGTTGACATATGTTGAAATAATCATAAACACCAATACCCAAATGCTCCATGGTGCTGGAATATTTACTTACATTTACCCCACAAATGGCCCAGTTTTGTAGGTAAATTTATCATAATCCTGATATTTCACCATATTACCCTCTGGTAATTTATTACAGTTCGCTATTGATTCAATGGCCCAGTCGGTAGCTATTTGATATTTTCCCAAACAAAAATGGCATGGTGGATCTTTCCAGTCCTTTATGGGACAGTTTACCAGAGGCTACCCTCTGGTAAACTAACATAACTATGGAAAATCACCATATTTAATGGGAAAATCCACTATAAATGGCCATTTTCAATAGCAAACTGTTAAATTACCAGAGGCTATCATCATTGACATATGGTGAATTGTCTACGCATCCCATGGTCCCATGGTCCAGAAAATGGTCCATCATGGTCCCATGGTCCCGCCTATGCCCCCGAAGCCGTGCACGTATCCGGTCAAGGGGTGCCACAATGCAGGCATCCTGCGAGTTTCGCCGGTGATTTTTAAATGGGTCATGAATGGGTCATTACAGTCATGTTTACTTCGTATTATTATATAGTATTATAACTGTAAGCCATCCATGGTTCTTCATGGTTCTTCATGGTTCTTCATTGTTCTTCATGGTTCTTCATGGTTCTAATTAAATAAACAATCATGGGTACTTATTTAGTAATTACAGTTGTTTTTTTCATGGTTCTTAGTAACTCTATACAGTTGGCCAAAAAAAAAAGGTGAAATCTCAGCTTCTTTGTGGTTGATCAGCAAGATGGTGCCCAGGTTGAAAAAAATGAGACGCTTGAAATTAAAGATGGTCTTGTTGTGCTGGAGCAGAAAACCATCTTTTAAGCTGCAGACAGTTAAGGTGTAGAAATTTAAGCTTCATTTTCAACTTTCATTTGTTGATGGCAAGAATTTAAGGTGCAGAAATGCCAATTTCGATATTGCCTAACTTAGATTTCATAAACAGCTTCGGGTTACACTGCCCTTGCAGGCACATATTTTCCACCCAACCATACAACAGACTTTTTCAGAAGCAACTACGCCAGGGTTTCATGAAACAGTATTTGGATATGAATGGATATGATTCAGTTCCATACAATCTCCATACAACTCGACGCGGTTTTGAACTCCAGATGGAGGCGCCACATAGCACAGAATCAGCAGAGCTGGAAAGGCAACCAGCGCGTATCAACCCCGAAGTCATAAACCCCTAGTTTTCTTATCAAAAAAAGAAACAAACCGGGGTACTATTCCTGTAAGGGATGGATTTCTTAGCAGCAATCTTCCGGAAACGGCACAGTAATCCTTTGAAAGGCAGAATTCTTGCACAAATAAATGCAAAGTGTTTTTGACATACATCATTCCACTCAGAAAAAAAACACGCAAGCAATCATGCATATGCTTTTGCTTAAAAACATAATATTTCTTCATAGCTACAGCCTTCCATCAATACGTATGTACGCCACAAAGTGTCTTTCAAAAAAAATATACATACACAATCATACAACTTAGTGGAATACCCGTATCTAATGCGCAGTCGTTTCTTTGAACATGTCCAGTCTTCCAAAAAAGTTATGCGTCGGATGCGTGTCAGCAGGTGCCAAAACCTCGATACCTAACAAGGGAGGACCAGCAGATCGCATCGTTTCAAAAACAAGGAGATCAAAGACAAAACCGTGGCAGTCTATCTAGTAACCTCTCTAATGATTTTCATCATTTCGATTTTAAGTACATCTCGTTCATGTCTCACTTCTGGTGACATCTGGTCACAAGATTGGAGATGGAAACTCTTAGATACATCCGGATGATCCGGAGGGTCCGGAGCACTCTGCAGATGCCGACGAACTCATGGGCAACTTCTACTCGATTGGTGGTTTGAACTCCCATGAAATACGTTAGGCAAAAAAAACAGGTACTTGGTGGTTCATCCCACTTAGTAAGTGGGTTCTATCCCAGCTATAAGTGGGATAAGTAGGGTCAATCCACTTATAACTGGGATATAACCCACTTACTGAGTGGGATGAGCCACCAAGTACTCTGAAAAGAAAGGATTTGACACCAGCGAATCAGCTCCGTTTGCCATGCCGACGGCCTGAAAATTCTTGAGAAATTCATGCTGGCTGCATCAATGGGGTAGACTGTTTCTAGACTGTTCAATACCCAAGCTTACCATTGAGGTAGATGTGGGCCAAGAAACAATGGATCCATATACTGGCACCTGAGCCCCAGAAACATGTTCCTACGAAAACAACGCCGAAATCTCCAAAAGTCACTTCTAGACATACACACATACAGGGAGACAGGGTGTCCCCACAAAATCTGAAAGGTGACCCGCGACGCAGACCGTCGACTGATATTTTCTCGCTGGCCTTTGCTCAGCTACCCATCATAGCTGGACCCAATATTCCATCGAATTGATATTTGCCGGTGTCCAAAAAAAGTGACCCCAGTGTTATCCAATTCACTAGACATCACTAAACCATCAAGTGTCGTGTTGAAATCCATGATCTCCGATGATTTCCCGGCGCCTGAAAATCTTCAAGTGTCATGGCATTCATCTCCTTGCCGAAACCGTGACTTTGGGGTTATGATGGCCATGAATTGCCATGAAAATGGGGTTTCCATAAATGGGAGTACCCCCATAGCATCCCATAGCTGGATGGTTTACATGGAAAACCCTAAATGGATGATTTAGGGGTACCCCCATTTTAGGAAACGCCTAAATCATTCAAAAGAAGAAATGCTTTGGACACCAGCAACTCACAAAAAAACCGCTGCAAGAACTTGTTAGGATATGGCATTGTGTGCAGCACTGAGCCGGGAACGTTTAGAATCTATAATCCCGTATGTATCTATGAACCCGGTACCGGGACATCGACACCCACCTCCAATGTTATGGTCCCCCCCCACCCGAAACCTCGGCCACAACCTCTTCACTGGACCTTGTCTGCACCTATATTTGTGTCATACCTATACATATCTCGCAAATACTACCTATCATATATATATATATATATTGTTTATATGTTTCCTATAGCCACCTCATACATGACTTGCTACGCGTTGCATACCTACATGCTACATATGTGCTACGTATACATTACCCGGCGTGTACGTATGAATACCTACAGCCTAAACACTACTGTATTATTACATGTAGCATATGCTTGCAAACCTCAATGCCACCTAAAGACCCCCACAATTCAAACATTGTATATGTACCTGTGTGCATTGAATACATTGCCTCTTAATTTCCAACATGTTCCCTACACTCTATACAATACCATCCGCCGCCCACAGACACGCAGTCAAAATATATACTACCTATATGCATGTTTCATTACATGCCATATACAATATGGCTATATATAAATATCCCCTGTACACTCCTTAAATACTCTCCATATACTCCCTATAAACTGGACATCAACCACATTTACCTTCACAAACACTACCCATGTAGGACTACTGTTGTTGTTGTTGTTGCTGCTGCTGCTGTTGGTGCTGGTGCTGGTGTTGGTGTTGTTGTTGTTGTTGTTGCTGCTGCTGCTGTTGCTGCTGTTGGTGCTGGTGTTGGTGTTGTTGTTGTTGTTGCTGTTGTTGTTGCTGTTGCTGTTGCTGTTGTTGTTGTTGTTGCTGTTGTTGTTGTTGTTGCTGCTGCTGTTGGTGCTGGTGTTGGTGTTGTTGTTGTTGTTGCTGTTGCTGGTGCTGGTGGTGTTGTTGTTGTTGTTGTTGCTGCTGCTGTTGGTGCTGGTGCTGGTGTTGTTGTTGTTGTTGTTGTTGCTGTTGCTGTTGCTGTTGCTGTTGCTGTTGTTGTTGTTGTTGTTGTGGTTGTTGGTTGTTGGTTGTTGGTTGTTGGTTGTTGGTTGTTGGTTGTTGGTTGTTGGTTGTTGGTTGTTGGTTGTTGGTTGTTGGTTGTTGGTTGTTGGTTGTTGGTTGTTGGTTGTTGGTTGTTGGTTGTTGGTTGTGGTTGTGGTTGTGGTTGTGGTTGTGGTTGTGGCTGTGGTTGTGGTTGTGGTTGTGGTTGTCGTTGTGGTTGTGGTTGTGGTTGTCGTTGTCGTTGTCGTTGTCGTTGTCCTTGTCGTTGTCGTTGTCCTTGTCGTTGTCGTTGTCGTTGTCGTTGTCGTTGTCGTTGTCGTTGTCGCTGTCGTTGTCGTTGTCGTTGTCGTTGTCGTTGTCATTGTTGTTGTTGTTGTTGTTTTTGTTGTTTTTGTTTTTGTTGTTGTTGGGAACGCCCCAAGGCGGACACACAGTTAATTACATTGTACATGTACACATTACGTATATATATATATATAATGACATATATAAATATATATCATTTTTTATAGAGAGAGAGACATATACATATGTGAATACATATATATATATATATACGGCAAATGCCTGGGCTTTGCCCGGGCCCGCAATAACGACAGGCGACGGGTCATCATCATCATCATCAACAACACCATCACCATCATCATCATCATCATCAAACCCTTCTTGAAGATCAGAAGTTTAACGAGGGTGGGAGTATTGAAGATCTTCAATGAATGTAGAAGTTTGACGGGGGTGGGAGAATTAAACCCTTATCTGATTGAAGACCTTCAATGAATGTAGAAGTTTGACGAGGGTGGGAGAATTAAACCCTTATTGAAGATCTTCAATGAATGTAGAAGTTCAATGGGCGTGGGAGAATTAAACCCTTATTGAAGATCTTCAATGAATGTAGAAATTTGACGGGGGTGGGAGAATTAAACCCTTATTGAAGATCTCCAACGAATGTAAAGTTTAACGGGGGTGGGGGAAGAAAAACCCTGAGTGAAGATTCTCAATGAATGTAGAAGTTTAACAGAGGTGGGAGAATTAATCCCGTATTGAAGATCTTCAATGAATGTAGAAGTTTGACGGGGGTGGAAAAATCAAACCCTTATTGAAGATCTTCAATGAATGTAGAACTTTAACGGGGGTGGGAGAATTAAACCCTTATTGAAGATCTCCAACGAATGTAAAGTTTAACGGGGGTGGGACTTTAATATTCCCTAGTCCTTTTGTTGATCTTCCCAGTTGAATGTAAAGTTTAACGGGGGTGGGACTTTAATATTCCCTAGTCCTTTTGTTGATCTTCCCAGTTGAATGTAAGTTTAACGGGGGTGGGACTTTGATATTCCCTAGTCCTTTTGTTGATCATCCCAATTGAATGTAAAGTTTAACGGAGGTGCGGGGTTAATATTCCCTAGTACTTTTGTTGTTTTTCCCATAGGGATTTAAGGTTTAACGGTGGTGGGAGTTTAATATGCCCTAGTACCTTTGTTGTTTGTTCAATAGGAATTTTGTAAAGTTGCATCAACATTTCTTTGGGAATGGGAAACCGCTACGCTGCAACGCCTGGGCAAAGCCCAGGCGTTGCGCGTATATATATATATATATATATTATATATATATGTATATGTATGTATGCTACGGTATGTTGTAAAGTTGTATAGTAAATGATTGTGCCTCTTGTATATTTGCGGCGAACCGAACAAATACCATGTTCTGCCCAGCCCGAATGTGCGGAATGTGACATTTGAACGAACGTTCTCTGGAAAACACAACAGAATCACTAAAACTGACCAGCTGTCCTAGGTTTCGGTTGTGCGATTCGGACATACCCAGACCGACATGCAACATCGTGCAACAAGCTGCAACCCAGGATTTTAAGGAAAAGCATTGGTTTTGTGCGAAAATATCTCCGTCTGTCTGAAAATCTGGCATATTTACATACCCCCCAATAGCATAGCCATCAATATCATCAAAAAATGATTACAGTAATATAGTGATTAATCAATGGATTTTTAGGGGTACCCTACTTTCAGTGAAACCCATGCGGCAATATCGGTAACCCATGGTGCCCCTAATATCCCGTGGCTGACCGTCATTTTTCAGACAATAGGGTCGTGCCCCATAGTGAAATCAGTTGGTGAACATAACTCCAATGACCGTGTGTTTATGTGGGTTGTATCTATGGTTAGTTGTGATTATAAATCAACATACATTTCACTGGGAGGTACAGTACCACCCTGTGGCAGTCGACTGATTTTGAGTGTCACGACCAAGGTACCCGATCGCGCAGTTTTTGCTCGAAGAGGTTTTTGGCGCTGTGATAAGTCAAGGCGAAACCCAAATATTCAGACAACTCCTGCAACAAGGAAACGATGCGCTTGACGGATCTTGAAGGTACTTTGGGGGTGCGCAAAACATGGTAATTAATAACCATGGTTTTGACAACCATTTAAGGACACCGACTACCTTGCACGTGAATTACATGGAGGAAAAAACACAGTAGTTTAGGTTATGTCAACTTTGGAACTCGGGAAAATGATCCGACTTAGAAGATCGTATGTATGCCTGGGCATTGGTTGTGGGAACATGTCACCATGCGTCCATGCAGTTTCATCTGATCATTCAAGCAGGTGTCGGGGCACCTTCCACAGGATAAAACCTGCATAGTGTGTGGGGTATGTCCTGACTCAACAGAACTGGATCAACAAAACAACGGTCATCACGTTTCGGTGTCCTGAAATTGTTCCAAGGACATCATGCAATCCTGTCACGTGGCAATCCTTCCCCACTAGATCGTGTCCCGCAAGTGAAACAATGGTTGGAGTAAACCAACATCTACATGCATCTACGGCATTGTGCAGATTTACCTTTACTTGTTCGGGATGTTTCAAATGGTTCAGCTAACATGGTTTGTTGTTTGGTCATGATTGCATATCATAGAATCATAGGCACCAAACACACTTCAACAATGCATTGACATTTCTCGAAACCATTGCTTCGGTGGAAATGCCACTCCAAATTTGACTGCCCGCGTTTCGTTTTGCAACACCTTTTCGGAATTGTTTGAAGTGATTGTTCTTTCGTGTGGACCCATTGCTTGTCAGGAAAAAATACACGTGTATTCTTCTGCGACTGGTTTTTCCAAACGCAACATGTTTCCACCATACTTAAAAATCATGAAAATATAATTCGCACACAGACACAAAACTGGACACCGTTGCAAATTCCAATGATGACTGCCAATTGCCAGTTGCGATGTTGTTTTCAGAAAAACAACATATATATATATGTATATAGACACACATGTCTTTGTTTGATCATTGCATGAAAATAATGCGAAACCCTTTTACTAACGTGTGTGAAAAAAATGTTATTACCACAGAGTGTCCAGCGCATCTGCGCACATCCGAGTTTATCAGCCCGTAGCCATATTTTTAGTGCGCCGAGGAGCAGATGGACTTGAAAAGGCCATGAAAACAGCGTCAGTACCTTAAAAGCGCAGGCGTGCCGCTTCTGCTATGGGACTGATATCCAAAGGAAAATGCCAAGGTGCAGCTCCAAAGGGGGAAAGGGTGAACTTGTGAAGGGCATGTTGTAAAAGCCGGCCCACGACATGCACAAGGGAAATCTTGCGACGCCAAGGTGTAAGCTGCTGTTGCTGTGCCATCTGATGCCTGTGCCCTGAAGAAAAATAGCGCAAAGTCTCAAGCCGAAACTGGATGGATGAAACTCAGAAGGGCAGTCTCGCTGCGCATGCACGTAAGATGTTTACAAGTCACGTAACACATCTAGCCTCTGTAACGCATGTTGTTGCAGGAGATCTCAGTTATTCTCAGTTGTAGCCATAATGCGATTGCAGCCCGCGCTTGCAAACTTCTGTCAGCAGAATGGTGGTTCCGATCTGCATGAGCATGCGTATGGATGATATATGAATATTGTGGCCGAGAATCTTGGGGCCTTTCTTGGTCTCTTTCATGGTGAGCAGCTGAGGGGTATGTAGAAATACATGGACCCTCTACGAAATACCTAAGGAACTATTTAAGACGATGATAAAACCTTGAAAAATAGCATTGGGAACTGTATGAGAAATTCAAAGCAAAACAAACGAAACCTTGTGGATCTATTTGCAAAATCAAACAGAACCCGCTAGAATAGCTGCTAGAACTATTTGCACACCCAACTAAAAATCACGGAACTATTTGCAAAATCAAACGAACACCCTTGGAACTATATGACAACACGGATAAAATCACTGGGAATATTCTTATATATAGAATCATATTATTTCGTATATGTGTTTCCTGAGGCGACTATTTTTCATAGATTTGAGATCGCAAATGTATGCAAATGTTATTTGGTTATTGTGAGGGTGAAGCCCGAAAAAAAAAACGGAACATGACCAAAATGGGTGAGCCACCTAGATGCAAATGGTTGAAACATACCCAAATGGTAATTGAATATGGAATTTCAAAGGATTTAATAGGTGGTTAGTAGGGTTTTTTACCCAACAAAAATGACAGTTGTTTTTTTTCAAAATACTCTCTGGTACTTTAATATATGGAAATGTTCAAACGGGGGATATATTATAATGTTGGATACTGATTAGTGTGGGGATACACTATTGTGTCCACAGACCTCAAAATTATTCTGTAACTCTGGAAATGATCGAGGGGTACACTATTGTGTCCACAGGATTTTGGTGTAAGTTTTTTTTATTTTATGGTTGTTTAGTTTTTAATTGTTTTTTTATTTTATTTTAAAATTTTAAAATATTTTTTATTTTTATTTTTAAATATAATAATTTTTAATTTAATTATTTTTTATTTTGTTTTAAATTATGTTTTATCTTTATTTTTAATTAATAAATTATAATAATTTTTAATTTAATTATTTTTATTTTATTTTAATTTTTTTTCTTTTCATTTTTAATTATAATAATTTTTAATTTAATTATGTTTATTTTTAATTATATTGTTTTTATTATTTTGTAAAATTGTGTCAGGATACACAATTGTGTCATTGTGTCAGGATACACAATTGTGCCTTGGTCTTTTTTTGTTGTTCAAACATTTTTCATTTTTTTCTTTTTTTTAAGCTTTTTCCTTTTACTTTTTATTTTCCATCATTGAAATTTTCCAGATGCCTTCCACAGAAAATTACATCCAGGTACAAAATAGTGTGGTTTGTTTGGAGGGTACACTATTGTGTCCAGCTGCTTTCCTGAGGCCATGATTTTTTTTTCAATCATTTCCTTTACCTTTTCCTTTGCTAGCTAAAGTGTTTTCCTTTTAATTAATTCCTTTCTTAGTTTCTTTCATTTGAAATTCTCAGAAATGACCAGTTTCCCAAAATATATGATGCCTTATTAAAACCCAATTAAAAAACATCACTCAAACAATTTTTCAAGGGGGTAGTCCATGAGCAGCCCTGGTACACAATAGTGTGGTTTGTTTGGAGGGTACACTATTGTGTCCAGCTGCTTTCCTGAGGTCATGATTTTTTTGTTTTTTTTCAATCATGTCCTTTACCTTTTCCTTTGCTAGCTAAAGTGTTTTCCTTTCAATCAATTTCTTTCTTAGTTTCTTTCATTTGAAATTCTCAGAAATGACAAGTTTCCCAAAATATATGATGCCTTATTAAAACCCAATTAAAAAACATCACTCAAACAATTTTTCAAGGGGGTAGTCCATGAGCAACCCTGATACAGAATAGTGTGGTTTGTTTGGAGGGTACACTATTGTGTCCAGCTGCTTTCCTGAGGCCATGATTTTTTTGATTTTTTCAATCATTTCCTTTACCTTTTCCTTTGCTAAAGTTTTTTCTTTTAATTGCTTAATTACTTTCTTAGTTTCTTTCATTTGAAATTCTCAGAAATGCCCAGTTTCCCAAAATATATGATGCCTTATTATATGATGCCTTATTAAAACTCAATTAAGAAACATCACTCAAACAATTTTTCAAGGGGGTAGTCCATGAGCAACCCGGATACAGAATAGTGTGGTTTGTTTGGAGGGTACACTATTGTGTCGAGCTGCTTTCCTGAGGTCATGATTTTTTGATTTTGTTCAATCATTTCCTTTACCTTTTCCTTTGCTAGCTAAAGTGTTTTCCTTTCAATCAATTTCTTTCTTAGTTTCTTTCATTTGAAATTCTCAGAAATGACCAGTTTCCCAAAATATATGATGCCTTATTAAAACCCAATTAAAAAACATCACTCAAACAATTTTTCAAGGGGGTAGTCCATGAGCAACCCTGATACACAATAGTCTGGTTTGTTTGAGGGTACACTATTGTGTCCAGCTGCTTCCTGAGGTTATGTTTTTTTTCAACCATTTCCTTTTCCTTTTCCTTTGCTAAAGTTTTTTTCTTTTATGGTATTTCTATGGTATTAATATTGGATTTCTATGGAATTCCTATGAGGTCTCCATGGTGTTTCTATGATATTTCTGGAGGATTTCTATGGGATTTCTGAAGGGGTGCTATGGGAGTTCTATGGTATTCTTATGGGATTTCCATTGGATTCCTATGGGATTTTTATGGTATTTCTATGATCTTTCCTATGGAATTTCTATTGGATTCCTGTGGGTTTCCCAAGGTATTTCCATGATGTTTCTATGATCTTTCTATGGGATTTCTGAGAGATTCCTATGGGATTTTCATGTTATTTCTATGATCTTTCTATGGGATTTCTGTGAGATTCTTATGGGATTTCCATGTTATTTCTATGATCTTTCTGTGAGATTCCTATGGGATTTCCATGTTATTTCAGTTATTTCTATGATCTTTCTATGGGATTTCTGTGAGATACTTATGGGATTTCCATGTTATTTCAGTTATTTCTATGATCTTTCTATGGGATTCTTATGGGATTTCCATGTTATTTCTATGATCTTTCTATGGGATTTCTGTGAGATTCCTATGGGATTTCCATGTTATTTCAGTTATTTCTATGATCTTTCTATGGGATTTCTGTGAGATTCCTATGGGATTTCCATGGTATTTCTATGATCTTTCTATGGGATTTCTGTGAGATTCCTATGGGATTTCCATGGTATTTCTATGATCTTTCTATGGGATTTCTGTGAGATTCCTATGGGATTTCCATGTTATTTCTATGGTCTTTCTATGGGATTTCTGTGAGATTCCTATGGGATTTCCATGTTATTTCTATGATCTTTCTATGGGATTTCTGTGAGATTCTTATGGGATTTTCCATGTTATTTCTATGATCTTCTATGATGGGATTTCTGTGAGATTCCTATGGGATTTCCATGTTATTTCTATGATCTTTCTATGGGATTTCTGTGAGATTCCTATGGGATTTCCATGTTATTCCTATGATCTTTCTATGGGATTTCGTGTGAGATTCCTATGGGATTTCCATGTTATTTCTATGATCTTTCTATGGGATTTCTGTGAGATTCCTATGGGATTTCCATGTTATTTCTATGATCTTTCTATGGGATTTCTGTGAGATTCCTATGGGATTTCCATGTTATTTCTATGATCTTTCTATGTGATTTCTGTGAGATTCCTATGGGATTTCCATGTTATTTCTATGATCTTTCTATGGGATTTCTGTGAGATTCCTATGTGATTTCCATGTTATTTCTATGAGAGATTCCTATGGGGTTTCCATGTTATTTTTATGATCTTTCTATGGGATTTCTGTGAGATTCCTATGGGATTTCCATGTTATTTCTATGATCTTTCTATGGGATTTCTGTGAGATTCCTATGGGATTTCCATGTTATTTCTATGATCTTTCTATGGGAGTTCTGTGAGATTCTTATGGGATTTCCATGTTATTTCTATGATCTTTCTATGGGATTTCTGTGAGATTCTTATGGGATTTCCATGTTATTTCTATGATCTTTCTATGGGATGTCTGTGAGATTCTTATGGGATTTCCATGTTATTTCTATGATCTTTCTATGGGATTTCTGTGAGATTCTTATGGGATTTCCATGTTATTTCTATGATCTTTCTATGGGATTTCTATGATATTCTTATGGATTTCCATGTTTATTTCTATGATCTCTTTCTATGGGATTTCTGTGAGATTTACTATGGATTTCCAGTTATTTCTATGTCCTGTCTCTATGGTGTTCTGTGAGATTCCTATGGGATTCCATGTTATTTCTATTGATCTGCTTGGGATTTCTGTGAGATTCCATGGGATTTCCATGTTATTTCCATGTTATTTCTATGATCTTTCTATGGGATTTCTGTGAGATTCTTATGGGATTTCCATGTTATTTCTATGATCTTTCTATGGGATGTCTGTGAGATTCTTATGGGATTTCCATGTTATTTCTATGATCTTTCTATGGGATTTCTGTGAGATTCTTATGGGATTTCCATGTTATTTCTATGATCTTTCTATGGGATTTCTATGATATTTCTTTGGGACTACTATTGGATTTCTATGGGATGTCGATTGAAAGTAAATTGGCAGTAAATTGAATTTAATTGAAAGTAAATTCAAAGTAATTTGAAATCAATTCAAAGTAAATTGAAAGTAAATTGAAATCAATTGAAAGTAAATTGAAATCAATTGAAAAAGTAACTTCAAATCAATTGAATGATCGAGATCCACAATAGTCTGGTTTGTTTGAGGGTACACTATTGTCTCCAGCTGCTTCCTGAGGTGATATTTTTTGAAACATTCCCTTTACCTTTTCCTTTGCTAAAGTTTGTTTCCTTTTAATTGCTTAGCTTCATTTTTCTTGGAATCAAAACCAAAGGCTTTCCAAAGGATTAGTTTCAGCCAAACAAAAAAAGCATGAATGATCATGATACACAATAGTATGGTTTGTTTGAGGGTACACTATTGTGTCCAGCTGCTTCCTGATGTGATTTTGTTTTTTTTTACATTCCCTTTACATTTTCCTTTGCTAAAGTTTTTTCTTTTATTTTCTCAATTAGTTTCTTTTATTTAGAATTCTCAGAAATGCTCAATTTACCAAAATATATGATGCCTTATTAAAACCCAATTAAAAAACATCACTCAAACAATTTTTCAAGGGGGTAGTCCATGAGCAACCCTGATACACAATAGTCTGGTTTGTTTGAGGGTACACTATTGTGTCCAGCTGCTTCCTGAGGTTATGTTTTTTTTCAACCATTTCCTTTTCCTTTTCCTTTGCTAAAGTTTGTTTCCTTTTACTTAGCTTCATTTTTCTTGGAATCAAACCAAAGGCTTTCCAAAGGATTAGTTTCAGCCAAGGAAAAAAACATGAATGATCATGATACACAATAGTATGGTTTGTTTGAGGGTACACTATTGTGTCCAGCTGCTTCCTGAGGTGATTTTTTTTGAAACATTCCCTTTACCTTTTCCTTTGCTAAAGTTTGTTTCCTTTTACTTAGCTTCATTTTTCTTGGAATCAAAACCAAAGGCTTTCCAAAGGATTAGTTTCAGCCAAGCAAAAAAAACATGAATGATCATGATATACAATAGTATGGTTTGTTTGAGGGTACACTATTGTGTCCAGCTGCTTCCTGAGGTGATTTTTTTTTGAAACATTCCCTTTACCTTTTCCTTTGCTAAAGTTTGTTTCCTTTTACTTAGCTTCATTTTTCTTGGAATCAAAACCAAAGGCTTTCCAAAGGATTAGTTTCAGCCAAGCAAAAAAACATGAATGATCATGATACACAATAGTATGGTTTGTTTGAGGGTACACTATTGTGTCCAGCTGCTTCCTGAGGTGATTGTTTTTTTCTTTCCCTTTACCTTTTCCTTTGCTAAAGTTTGTTTCCTTTTACTTAGCTTCACTTTTCTTGGAATCAAAACCAAAGGCTTTCCAAAGGATTAGTTTCAGCCAACCAAAAAAAACATGAATGATCATGATACACAATAGTATGGTTTGTTTGAGGGTACACTATTGTGTCCAGCTGCTTCCTGAGGTGATTGTTTTTTTTCTTTTACTTGAAAGTAAATTGAAATCAATTGCAAGTAAATTGAAATCAATTGAAAGTAACTTGAAATGAATATGATCATGATACACAATAGTATGGTTTGTTTGAGGGTACACTATTGTGTCCAGCTGCTTCCTGAGGTGATTTTGTTTTTTTACATTTCCTTTACATTTTCCTTTGCTAAAGTTTGTTTCTTTTATTTTCTCAATTAGTTTCTTTTATTTAGAATTATCAGAAATGCTGAATTTCCCAAAATATATGATGCCTTATTAAAACCCAATTAAAAAACATCACTCAAACAATTTTTCAAGGGGGTAGTCCATGAGCAACCCTGATACACAATAGTATGGTTTGTTTGATGGTACACTATTGTGTCCAGCTGCTTCCTGAGATGATTGTTTTTTTCCTTTTACTTGAAAGTAAATTGAAATCAATTGCAAGTAAATTGAAATCAATTGAAAGTAACTTGAAATGAATATGATCATGATACACAATAGTATGGTTTGTTTGAGGGTACACTATTGTGTCCAGCTGCTTCCTGAGGTGATTTTGTTTTTTTTTACATTCCCTTTACATTTTCCTTTGCTAAAGTTTGTTTCTTTTATTTTCTCAATTAGTTTCTTTTATTTAGAATTCTCAGAAATGCTGAATTTCCCAAAATATATGATGCCTTATTAAAACCCAATTAAAAAACATCACTCAAACAATTTTTCAAGGGGGTAGTCCATGAGCAACCCTGATACACAATAGTATGGTTTGTTTGGGGGTACACTATTGTGTCCAGCTGCTTCCTGAGGTGATTGTTTTTTCCTTTTACTTGAAAGTAAATTGAAATCAATTGCAAGTAAATTGAAATCAATTGAAAGTAACTTGAAATGAATTGAAAGTAACTTGAATTCAATTGAAAGTAAATTGAAATCAATTGAAAGTAAATTGAAATCAAATGAAAGTAAATTGAAATCAATTGAAAGTAACTTCAAATCAATTGAAAGTAACTTCAAATCAATTGAAAGTAACTTCAAATCAATTGAAAGTAACTTGAAATCAATTCAAAATCAATTCAAATCAATTGAAAGTAAATTGAAATCAATTCAAAATATATTTAAATCAATTCAAAATAAATTGAAATCAATTGAAAGTAAATTGAAATCAATTCAAAATAAATTGAAATCAATTCAAAATAAATTGAAATCAATTGAAAGTAAATTGAAATCAATTGAAAGTAAATTGAAATCAATTGAAAGTAAATTGAAATCAATTCAAAATAAATTGAAATCAATTGAAAGTAAATTGAAATCAATTTAAATCTATCAATTTTTTTGATTTTACACTATTCTGTACCCGGTACCTTGTTTTTTCCACACTATTCTGTAACCCAAATTTGTTTAGGGGGGGGGGGCCTCCCCACACTAATCAGTAACCTACATTAGTGTCTTTCGCCCGTGTGCGTGGCTGTCTCCCCCTTGCTGGTCGGCACCTTCAGCTGGTCCGAGTTCTTCTTCCTCGGCCCCCTGGACAAGTGCTTTGACGTGGCCTCAGCACGAAGGGACCGGCCAGTCGAGGGGGGCAGTCGAGCTGCGGCGGTCATCGTTAGGCCGGGCTGGACCCACGTTCGCAACCTCTGGTGCGCTGGCTTGGCCCGACTTTGACCGCTGCGGCTCACGGAGCTCATTTAGGGAGCGCATGGCCTCGTCGCGTGGAGCGCCCGTGGCCTATCTGCTTTGGCTTCTGGCTACCTTCCTCAAAGCACTTCAACCACCAGCGGCCCAACCCACAGTGTGGACTCTGCCTCAACTTGACCGCCGCCAACGTCGGGCATGTTTGATGGGATGGTGTGTCGCAGCTTTGGGGATCTGACAGGGCTTCACCCTACGGGAATGCAATGGCAGCAAGCTTCCCTCGGACTTGGGCATGCTGGGTTGGGTTTGCGATCAACAGCCAAGCACGCCTCGGCTGCCTACCTTGCCTCGTTGGGGGAGGCCTCCACTGCAGCGCAGGACTTGGACACCGCCTTCTCTGCCGAGGACCTGCGATCTTCCCATGACGTGCGTGCGGCGTTGGCAGCATTGAACGCCAACTTGCATCCCAAAGACCAAATTAGCTTCGAAGCCGCCAGTCACTCCAAACAACATGACTTGTCTTTGAAGCTAGACCTTGCTGGATGGCAGGAACAGCTTGGCTAGGCTACCATTGTGGGTCAAGCCACTTTACAGTCAGAGGGCTGCTTGGGTGCGTGGGCCTTCTTGGCAGCCATACCGGCTGGCCGGGGGCGCATGGAACCTGCCACTTTTGTTGCCGAACTACGCGCTCGTTTGGGCATTCCGGGTGCAGACCAGGATGCTTGGTGCCCCCGTTGCGATGGGATCTTGGACGTGCAAAACTACCACGCAGGGATGTGCGCTGCAGGTGGTGATGGGCTGAACGATGGGGGCTCCGCCCTGAGAGGGAGAGACCGGGTCTGCTGCTGCCACAGTCGCCTCATGACACTAGCAACTCAGGCCGGCGACCAACTGATATTTACCTTCCGGCGTTGGCCGGGGCTCCTGCTGCACTTGACTTTGCTGTAACAGCACCACAGCGGCAGGAGACCTTGGTTCAAGCCAGTCAGCAAGGGGCGGCGGCTGCCACGGCATATGCCCACCACTTGTCGAAGCCACGGAGTGCAGTTTGTGCCCATGGTTGTCGAGAGCACAGGTGCTTGGGACCCTGCGGCCATGAAGATTTTGAAACACATTGCTCATGCTGCCGCAAGCCGGGCTGGCACCGACCCAGCTGACAGCCTCGATCACTTGCACCAAGAGGCCAGTGTCTGCGTTCGGACATGGCGGGCCCGAGCCGCCTTGCGCCGACGTTGCGAACTCACAGCTTAGGCATGCAGCCCACAGCCCCCAGATCTTCCAAAACCCCTTAAATAAGAAATCCTTATTTAAGGTGAAATTATTTAAGGTGTGTTTCCTTATTTAAGGTTTGTTTTTTATTTTTGAAGGTTTTTTGATGCATTTGTTTTGCCAAATGAACTACTACTTTTCCAAAGGCCCTCCTATGAAGGAAGGTTTAAGAGCAGATGACATTTTCCAAGAGCAGATGACATTTTCCATCCTGACCATTGGGCTGCAGAGCAGATTACATTTTCCATCAGCTACCATGTTGCCACCTCCTATGTAGGAGGTATTGTCCAGTAAAGGCTTGCCCAGGTTTCATTTGTCATGCCACTTGGATTCAGTGCACTGCATTAGGACTTTCTCAAGGTGATGGCTTGACAGGTTTGCAGGTTTGTTTTTGTCATGTTTGTGCATGTTTGTTGTTTGTTTTTGGCATGTTCACATGGCACCAGTTTGCAAGTGCTGTGCTCAAGCTTGCTGTGATCTCAGTTTCCTTGGACTTCTGCTGTGTGACCATGGGTGGTGCTTCTTCGAACAGGATGTCTCCAACTGATGAGGCTATCAGGACTGACTCTGTGACTTGGTCTGCTGCCTCCTAAATAGGAGGCTAGGATCATAACACTGCTATACATGAACATATATATATATATTGATAATGTTCACCTCCTAAGAAGGAGGTGCATACAGGTGTATATATACTAAGATATCAATGTGCTACCTCCTGTGAAGGAGGTAGCTTACAATAAAAAACACCCTGTGCCAGGACTGCCTTGGATGTAATCCAGCAGCTGCAGGCTACCCAGCAGGCGACCTTGCAGCAGCTCCAGTCCATGCAGGGTGGAAGTGCTGCTCCCCCACCTCCACCTCCACCTCCACCACCAGATGTTCCTGCAGGGTCACCAGCGGTTGAGGTGGATGAGTGTGCCTGGTGGTATCAGGGCCCAAGGACCTGTAGGAGGTGTGGGCAGAAAGCATACCTCAGGCAGGGTATCTGCTACAACATGGAGTGTGCTCCTAGATGAATATTTATGTGCAATTTTTGTTTTAGTTGATCTTTTGTTTTGCTTTTTGTTTTTCTCATGCACCATTATATTGTCTGCATATACTAAGGCTTTGAGCTTCACCAAGCTATTTGCTGCCGAGTTGGGCCAGAAGATGCTTCAATGGGGTGCTGCTGATTGGAACCAAGGGTATACCGAGTCCAGAAGAGTAAGAAGAACAAGGGCAAGAAGCGAGTTTGGTGGCAGCATGAAGTCAAGGCCTACCATGCTGGTCAAGGAAAGGGATCTGGGAAGAGCTCCAAAGGGTTGGACCAGGAGGTGGGTGCAGGTTACCCTGATGCTCCTGGTGGAAGCCTCCTACTGAGGAGGAAAAGGAGGAGGAGGACAAGCAGAAGGAGGACGAGGTCGAGTTTGTGGAGCCTTTGGTCAAGAAACCGAAGAACCTAGGAGTCAGAGGGCGGAGGCTTGGAATCTTAGAGTCCAGCAGATTGACGAGAGAACCAGGTTCTTGAATAATAACTGGCCTGAGGATAAGCACATCGTTCGTCCTGGTCTTCGAGAGTGGGCGGCTGAGAACTTGTCAGATTCTTCAGCAGTGGCGATTGAGAGTGAGTCAGAAGTTGAGACTCTCTGCCATTCTTCGGACGAAGAAGATCAAGCTGTTGATACTCCGGCAACCTCATCGACAGACGTGCCTGCACATCCAGCATTCTCATTAGTGAGACCTGTGACACCCAAGGCAAGCCCATCAGTGAGGCCATCAGTGACACCCAGGGCAAGGCTATTGATTCCGTCGGCAAAGCCAAAGCCGAAGGCAAGAGATGATCGAGATGATGAAGCTGACTCCTGTGGAGGAGTGGTTCGATTTCCAAATATCTTTGGGCCTTAGGTAGCAGCTTGAGTACCAGCAAGAATGGATTTGATTTCAGGTGGTCAGGGCTTGAGCACAAAGCCAAGGAACCTGATCCATCCAGCTGCTTGGAAAAAAGGTGCTGCTTGGGTCTGGGCTGGGCAGGTGGTTTCTGCCTCCTAAGAAGGAGGCACACTCCTATGTAGGAGTGTTCAGTTAATGCAAAACCTCCTGTGTAGGAGGCTTAGATTGTTTACATGGATTTGCATGGGTTTGGATGGACTTGCATAGGTTTGGATGCAAGTTTAAAATCAACCCCTAATTAGGAGTTGAGGGGCTCAGGGATGAACCAACCCCTATTGAGGAGTTGCAGGGTTGGGGGATGGATCCACTCCTATTGAGGAGTTGGAAGGAGATGGAATGGGTAAACTCCTATGGAGGAGTTGGAGGGATCTTGGATGGTGATTGGTTCAAGTTTTGTTTTGATCCTGATCTCACTGTATTCATTTGAGGTTCAGTCTTGTAAGTATGTAAAAGTTTGGATACTTTGGGTTATGGGATTGGAATCTGGAATCCATCAAAATGGCTGCTGTCTATTTGGCTAATGATGACCAAACTCTTGATATGTTGAAAAGCTGCATCATGTGAATTTGTTAAAAAAATATCACTAGTGAGATTTGGATAAAAAAATCATCAGCTCAGAATTCAAAACCTAGTAAATTTAACTTCATTTAACTTCATTTAACTTCAAAACAATACTAAAAAGATAAAGAATTTAACTTAGACAGGTAAAGTTAAATGAAATTAAATGAAGTTAAATTTCCACTCTTGGACTAATATAATCACAAAAATATTTGGCCAAAGTATCAATGTGCACTATAAACCTGGTTTTCCAAATGTATCCAACATCTATCAACATTGATGAATCATAGATCAAAACCATGTCCACAAAATCTTCAAACCATCCATTAGCCCTCCAGCTCCTAGATAGGAGTTGGACCTGATCCTGAGTACAGACATACAACCAAAACCTCCCACATAGGAGGTTTATTTGTTTTGCAGCACTCCTACATAGGAGTGGGTCTCCTTCTTAGGAGACACTTGCTACCTTCCCAGTCCCAAGCAGCAAAGCAACTTTTTTCTGATGAAGTGCATGGATGACCCAGATTCCTTGGCTTTGTGCACAAGCTCTGATCCATCTGAAACCTATAGATGTCCTTGCTGCTACCCAGCTACGATCTAAGGACCAAAGACAGCAAACAAACTGGAACCTCGGGTCGTGCTCAGGGCCTTTGTGGTGCTTCACCAGTGGCTCAATGACTTTGCAATCCTCCTCTTCCTCTTCCTCCTCCTTTTCATCATTTTCTTTCTCATCCACAGGCTCAACAAAACCAGGCCACCACTTAGCAGCATAGTTATTAGCCTCCTCTGCAGGAGACTTCCTCCAAGGAGCATCGCGGTATGCCACAGCCTCCTTGTCCTCCTCCTTCCCCTTTCCAGACCCCTTTCCCCTGCCAGCCCAATAGGCTTTGACCTCTCTCTGCCACAAGACGCGCTTTCTGCCCTTGTTCTTCTTGCTCTCCCGGACTCGCTGGACAGTGACTAGGCCCTGGTTCCACCCAGCAGCGCCCCATTGCAGCAGCTTCTGGCCAAGCTCAGCAGCAGACATGTTGGTGAAGCTCAATGCCTTAGTCCATTGAAAAAGCAAAATGACATCATGAATGAACCACCCCCTAGCAACCCAAGGAACAAACCTGACCAATTAATAAGGCAAGTTACACATTCCATATTGTAGCAAACACCTTGCCTGAGGTATGCCTTTTGTCCACACTTTCGACAAGTTCTTGGCCCTTGATACCACCAAGCATTCTCATCCACCATAGCAGTCCCTTCAGCTGCTGGAGCTTCAGCTGGAGCTAGTGGTGGAGGTGGTGGAGGTGGAGGTACTGGAGGAATTGCACCTTGCATCGCCTGGAGCTGCTGCATAGTCACCTGCTGAGTAGCCTGCAGCTGCTGGATGACATCCAAAGCAGTCCTGCCAGTGAAGTTTTCTGAGCTCTCCTACATAGGAGATGGCATGGTGATATAGTAGCATGCATACATTCATGAAGGAGATGAAACTTTTGCACAGTGAACAGGACTACTTTAGAATACCAACAACTCATAGCCTTTGCCTCCTATGTAGGAGACAAAGCAAACAAATCACACAGTCCTGATAGCCTCATCAGCTCGGGACATCCTGCTCGAAGAAGCACCACCCATGGCTTGCACAGTGCAGGTCGAGAAGAAACCGAAAACCAAACAAACTTGAGCACAGCACTATCAAACAATTGCCCTGTGAATATGTCGCCAGAAAAAAAAAGGTGCAAAAACACACAAATATAAACAGACAATGCAATGAACAAATCTAGTTAGGCATGAAGACTGCAAGCTGAAATGCCTTCTGCATAGGAGGTGAGACTTCATTGAACAACACCTCCTACACAGGAGGTGACACAATCATAGATGAACCAATAAATTGGAACATCATTAAAGATTAGACTCCCAATAGAATTTATTAGTAATTGGTATATATGTATATATAATATATATTGATTTATTTATTTACCATTGGGGGTTATTTTTGTTCTATCATTAGAGGCAGCCATCCTCCATAGGAGTGCTGTCTACATACCCAAAATCAACCACCATTCATCACCCAAACCCAACCACCATTCAATACCCAAACACTGCTACCATGGTGTTTGCAGCTTCAAACAGCAAACCTTTTTTTTGCCTATGAAGGAATACTTGCTCCTATGAAGGATCGAGTTTTCAGGGAACAATCTCCTACAAAGGAGGTGTTTGAACACATAGATATGCCAAAAAAGTAAAGTTAAATGAAAACACCTTAAATAAGAAAAAAACACCTTAAATAAGGAAACCAACCTTAAATTTAAGAGAAAAAGTCTTTAAATAAGGCGTTTTTTTTCAAAAAACACTTTAAATAAGAAAACAGACTTTATTTAAGGTCTTTTGTTAAGGTTTCTTTTATTTAAGGTGCTTTCTCTTATTTAAAGGGTTTTGGAAGATCTGGGCCTCCCAACTTCTCATTGGCAATGGTGAATCCTCCACACTTCCAATTTCTGCTGCTCAAG